GCATCTTGTATCACTTGTTTTCTCCTAGGACTCAGTGATGTTATATTGTTTCTCTACTTAGTTTCAGTTTTGGTTCAGAGATATTATGGTGGTTTATATCATTTGTTTCCCCATAGGATTTAGTAACTTTGTGTTGTCTCTTTATCGAGTTGTAGTCAAAGAATCCATTCTATGTTCAATCCAATTAGATGTGTTTATATCATTTATATCCCTATAAAATTCAATGATTCTGTTGTAGTATACTATATATGTCACTTATTTTTTCATAGAAATTAGTGACCTTATGTTATCTTACTGAGTTGTGTTTGAAATAAAAATTTTGTATTTTCTTCTATTTAAATTATGAGACATTATATTGCTTGTTTTCCCGTAAGATTCAATAATTTTGTGAGGTTTCATTTTTTGAATTTTGTTTGTGGCTTGTTTATACAATTTACTTAATTAATGCAATCCAAATAAGAGATTGTTGGAATATTTATTATATATATATATATATTATTTGCATTAATTAGATATTAAGTCCAGACAGATTGGTTTTTATAATTTTGTGTGGGCTATAATATGTGGACCACACAAGTAAGCTCAATGGGCAGAGGCCCGACTTACAATCCTATAGTAGTCAGTTATTTTCTATCTTTTAACTAACTGAGTTAAGGATAACGTGAGATTTAATTAATTAATTAATTATTAAAGTGGTTATTGATGTGATCCATATGATGCAATCAGTCGATAACTAATACATACAACTCTTTTCCGTCTTTTGTATTATTTCTGTACTCACTCTAAAAGCTACGAGGGTCTACTAAATTGGGTGTCTGCTTATACTTGAAGTAATCGAGATACTATAATCAGTTATAAATTCTTTAAGTACACACCTCATTTTACCTCATTTTTATTTATCTTATATGAATTGAGATACTTACGGAAACACCATACACTTGAAGAAGAGCCTTGACAAGTTTCCAGGAGAGATTATAATGATCATCCCAATAACTGATGCAGACAGAATTGCTTGTGAGTCGAGAGGGCCTTGATTGGTCTAAATCGAAGCATTTGTCTTATAGCATGCCTTCTCTTGATTAGGTATTAAATTCTGCCCCCGCTTTCGACAATGATGAACTGTCTATTCTCTCTGCTTGTCTATTAATTTAAAAAGAAAAGAATAATGTTTGTGCAACTTTAGTTAGTGACTTGCATTTGTTGGTTGAAGAATGTTGAAACCTAAACTCTTTTTACAAGACCGTCTTCTTCTTTTATCCCACAACCCAACCCCTTGTTGCAGCATCTAATCGGAAGGTTTCTTCCGCGAGTCATCAGAATCCAGAAAGACTTTGCACATGCACTCACTTAAAGAACTGGGCGTTTCATTTTGTTCTCCTATTTTTCAAAACCTTGATCACATTTGTCCATTTTGCATTATTTCTAGGTTCCCTTTATGTGGAAAAGATGTACTTTAAAAGCTTTGAATATGTTTCGGCAAAAAAGAACCCGTTAATGAATATATATTTTCTAATCGTAGATGGTTATTGTTTTAGAAATGAGATAGTTAATTATCAGTCAAAATTAGTGACTTGAGAGACAAAATAAGAATGACAGTAAGATTATTATGGGATTGCCCCGCCAGAAATCAAACATGTCCATATAGTTTTGATTTTGACATCACTTCCTTGGTCAAACGCTTAATATTAAGTTAAAAATTATAATTATCAGTGTCAGGCTCTCTCTTCCTCTACTTGGTCATGCTTAAGCAACACGATTCAACCATGACTCAGTTAATTCCTTCCATACCCAAGAAAAAGACTAGCCACCGCCATCCAAGCTGCCAGAAGCTCCAGTATCACTCGAAGATTGCATACCACTGATTACATCCTTAGCTAGAAGACCCAAGAAAGAAGGTGCTGGTGAAGGAACCCATCTGATTGGACACACCTCCTTGAGAAAAGACGCTGCGATAAAGTCAGCTACACAGTTACCTTCGTACGAAGCAAAGACAATAGAATACCCGGCCTTGGTTGCCATCCGTAATAAAATATCTTCAATGATACTACTGCATCTCCAGTCACCAAATTACAGCGGCCTTGAAGAATGCTCAGAACAAGTACTTGATAATCAGATTCAAAGATGACCATATCCTCACTCATCCCTTTTTCCATGACATAATTGCTATCACATGTTAACAAACATGCATATATAAGTATAGTATTATTCTAATGAATATGCCAGTCAACGAATTTAAAACTAATTAAAGTAGTTTTAAAGTTCCAAAATTAGTTTATATTCTTGGATCCTAGAGTGTTATATATATATATACACACACATATATTCATGCATGCCTTTTGGTCCCTGAAATGCAAAGGAATATAGAGCTGAAACTTGGAAGAGCTGTGAATGTAATAGTGTAAACTAGAGTAGAATGTGGCTGGGAGTTTATAAAAAAGCCAAACTATTTTTCATGATCTTTGTAAGAAGTGTGGCTCCCTGTCCTTTTTATATTTTATATTTACAATGATGATAATTGCCAGTTTGTTCTTGAATGTTCATGTAACAGTGGAAGTTGCCCTGGACATGCACAAACCAATGCAAGGAGATGAGGTGATCACGTGATGTGGTCGTCGAATGCATCTTTTTAGGGCCTCGGAACAAGCCAAATTGCCAATGAGCCCTGTTATGATCGATAAGGCTACAGATACTAGCGCTTCTTACTTTATAAACTATGTCGTCTTCTTCCTTCAGAACCTTTTTCCATACTTAATTCTTATGTTCCTGTCTTTCAGCAGCATCACATGGGGCAGTTTGTATACGTGAGACATTCTCGAAAAAACAATTGCACTCAATGTGAGCATAGAAAATAGCAGAATTTACTATAAAGTGGGTTTTATAGGAAAAATTGCAGTGAAAATCTCCGAAGAATATGGAGCTTAACCCTAACCCATAGCCATGCACATGTGCCAGTTTCTGGAGTATCCGGTTTTAATTAGGTTCAATAAAAACCTAAAAGTATTAACTATTACTGTTTAAGTATGGCACTACTCTACATGTTCGATTAATTGTTTGTGTGAGTTGAGAGAATCTACCTATTCAAAGAAATGAATATAGGAAATGTGATAGAAATGATGGACCATGGAGTGAAAACTTCCAAACGTGGATGCAAATTGAATGTCAAGTGAGCTTTTAATCACCATAACAAGTTTAGGACTGAGATTGGTTATTGAGCTACCAGGTACAATCTAGTGAGATAGTAAAAAGTGTCAGTATTGTGTATCTCCAAACTTTTGCTTCGTCACACACTGACCAAATATGTCAGACCCAGGATATAGTAGCTACTGCATTGAATAATTCGCATTAGGAGCAACATTCAATCCAACAATACTAAAATGGAGGGCGCTGTAACCGTTCCTTTTTTTGGTTGGGTATTTCTAATGCATATGAGAGTTTATCTCTTTTGGAAGGACATAGGCACACAGTTCAATTGATTAGTAATGATTTTGTCTAAGCTAGTTGAGGTCGCTTTTCAATTTCATTAATTTAGTTTTAAACTAATTTACACCATGATAGAGCTGATTTAGCCATTAGATAACAGAAAAACAAATGCAAAAAGATTAAAAGGGTTGAATTTTTATTTTTTTAAATACATGCCAAATCTGGTATTTTGTCATTGATTATTAGATCAACTTCAATTTAATTGCAGGTTGCCTTTTACTTCTCTGTTAGTTGTTTGCAGAATGTTGAATGTACACTTACATGGAAAAAAAAAATTAATTTGAGAGTTATTTTCCCCACTATTTGATGAATTGATCTTGTAGGATTAAACGAAGAAGTTCACTCTCTCTCTCTCTCTCTCTCTGCGTGTTTTTTTTTTTTTGGTGGGGGGACTCTAACAAGTGAACCGTTAAAATAGATGTGCTGCAAATTGTAGAGACAATTGTTAAAATCCATGATGCTGTCATCCAGTGAAACGGTTTGAAGATTTTGTCGTGACGAGTATGGGGGCAACAATAATTATAAGAACAAATTCAAAATTTTCATCTGTAAAGGAAAGAAAGGAACTTGTCATAAACCATGAAAATTTTCATTGGTAGAGGAAAGATTAAGGATTACTGAAGATGAAATGAAGGGGAGAACAGAAATAAGAAATGGACAAGCCAGAGCAAGCGTGTTTTACCTCCAAAGAAGAATTTTGCGTGTATCATAAAAATTCTACGACTTTCTTTTGGGCTTTCAATTACAAGCTAATTTGGCACTGCTACACCTTTTTTCAAAAATGAACTTTGGTCCAAGTTAGATTCCTTTTCAGAGTGATATTGGCCATGAATTTCTCGCATATGAATTAGGGCTGTTTACAATTTTGTTTTCAAAATTATATTCCTTGGTATCTTGAATGACATGATAAAGAGGAGAGAATAAATAGAAAGAGCCAGTCATGTGAACCTCTCGTTCAAGTTCCAAACTGTGAGGTGATTTGGTTCGGGGTCTTATCAAAACTACCGCTTGGAGACTGTGCAGAGGAGGACAATAGAACTGCTCTTCCTTCATTAGGACCGCTCCAGCAACTTCGTCCATCTGAGACTTTTCTTTACATAGACATATTTCAATTTCTTTCTTGGTCAATACGTAATGAATTCGGATCCTTCATCTTTGAAGCCTAGATGATTATTTTCAGTTCTCGTTCTATAAATTTAATCATAGAACACGGCAGATACTTCATCCTTTTAACCTGTGTTTTGACACGAGTTTCGGCCAACAGTATTCAAAAGACATAAATCATTTAAAATTATGATTCAGCTGCTAAGAAATTTCCAGTGACGCATCGGGTGTTTGTTGAGTAAAGAAAAAGCAAAAGATGATACGAGGGTAAGACAGTAGGAGCCAGAAATGATGGAAAGTGAAAAGACGAGAGAGAGAGAGGCGAGGACAGGGGGTGAATAGAAGAATGAGTGGAGACTGAGTGGTAGAAAATTTGTGGAAGAAAGAAGAGGCCCACATTGCACATTGTCTAATGTCTATGGAGAAAACAGCAGACAAGCGAAAGTCCAGTGGGGTTGGAACTTGCGTTCCATTGTCAATAGTTTCTCCTATAAACAGTTAGACTTAGACACTCGCGGTCTGCTCCTTGCCCCCACATCCACATGCCTTTGTTTCTTACACTTTCCTCTCTTCCTCATCCACCCAATCATAAATACCTCTCTTCTCTACCCCCTCCTCAATCGCGCTCGCTCTCTCTCTCTCTCTATATATATATATATCTCCCTCCCCGCCAAGAACATTCAAAGCTCAAGAAATTGCCATTCATGGCCATCAAAAAAGCCAACAAGCTACCGCAGCCAGTTGTGCTGAAGCAAATCCTCAAGAGATGCTCGAGTTTTGGAAAGAAGCAGGGGTATCATGAAGTGGGTCTTCCTGATGATGTTCCAAAAGGCCACTTTGCTGTCTATGTTGGGGAAAACAGAACCAGATACATCATCCCCATTTCGTGGTTGGCTCACCCGCAGTTTCAAACACTGCTCCGGAGAGCTGAGGAGGAGTTTGGCTTCAATCATGATACTGGTCTTACCATCCCTTGTGATGAAGTTGCTTTTGAGAACCTCACCTCGATGATCAGATAAAGTGGGAAGGACTCTCCGACACCGTGGATGTGGTGTTGCTTTACATCATGAATCTCCTTCTCTAGTGCTGGTTCTGACCGGGACATTGTTAACAATTTGCCATATGGTATTGTAATTTGTATATAGATTGACGTCCCTGAAGGTTTTCTTTTCCTCAGAAATGCCATTCGTATACTTCATGGGCAATGATTTATTTGAGGATATGTTTATTGGTTGGGCATTCATCCGCTTTAATTTCTTTCTTTCTTTCTTTTCCAAGTCCTCTTTTCTGTAACTTGAACATGATTACTAATTTGCTGTTGCTAACATCACTATAAGGCTTGGAGAAGTATTCGACTGACTGAAAGGCTATGTCTTCGACAGTCAAATCAAGCAAAAGTAGTTTCTGCTTTGTGTTAATGAGAAGATGAGAAAGTATAAGAATGGTTTTTTATATCTCACATGTCACAGTTTCTCAAGAGCCAAAAACAACCTATATTCATGTATTAACTAGCCGTGATTTTTTGACAGTTACGGATTTTGTTGTTAAAGGATGATGCCATGGAGGAGCTAATTCTAAACTGACACAGCCGTTAGTGGAATTGAAAATGTTTGATAATTGTTTCCAGATACTTCATTAGAAGGGTCTTCAATATGAAAGATTAACATTTTTGTATTCTTTCGCGAATCCTCGTACTGCAGAATTTTTTCATCATCCAAAAAAGCGGAATGTTACTGCATGGTCTATATTTTACTGATGATCAGATGGGAAATTTGGTGTTGGTGACTTGGTTCAATGCGTCGCAATCAGTCATCTCTTGTGTATAATTGATGATTCTGTCATATCAATCCCCTAACATCACGCTTTAAGCTACAATCATGGGGAGCGATAGATTCTGATGGAACCCTCTACTCTATTAAGCTTAAAAATACGCAAAACAGAAAATACACTGTAAATGTAGCTAACAATTACTATTGCTGAACAATAGAGTGGGATTACAATCAAAATAAAGACTGAAACTACACTCAGATGGCAATTACAGAGCATGAAACAACATAAACTACATCCTCCGAACAGCAACACGAACACTGGTCTCTCACAAATACAAACTAAAATAGAAAGATAAAATGATGAAGAAAAGATGATCTTCTCCACACCTAATTTGGCATTCGAGAGGCTAGAACTTTCCTCACATGACCATAATTCTCCAACAATTCTCTCCATCCCTCATCACGGAAGTACATAATCCTAGGCTACACTTAACCTGACTTTTCATTTGAATCTTACAATTATAAACCTTAAAATAAACCTCTTGACCACGGATCTTAGTCTTCTCTAAATCACCTCCCTGCTTAGATTGTCTACTATAAGCCTTAGGAAATGACAGGAAAATCTTTTGGGAATCACCAGCTCTATCAGATTCCCTTTTTCTTGCTGAATAATCAGAAGTTTCCTTCACCGAAGAAATTGTCAGCAAATAGCCCAAGCAGAGAAAGAAGTACTCAGATGCATGTTTTGTCTTGCATGGGAGAGTTTGCCGGTTTTTGCTACACATCTCATCTCACCTTGCGAGTTAGAGAGTCATCATCCAACAATGAACATCCTCGATCGACAATGTTTTGTTAACCCTTCCGAGGTTCCACACCCACAGAGGACAGAGTACTTGTCCATACAATTACAAGTACCAAAACCCCTTTTTTCTGCTTTTTCTTTTTGCAATTCCCTTTCCATTATATGAGAATTCAAGCGTATGACGTGGTGCCCACTCGGTACTTGCAGACTCATCCATAATTGATCACATTCAAAATGTAGATTATCCTCTGACAAACGCAAGCTTAATCTCCCTCTAGCTTTGTGCTTTGTCCATTTGGTGCACATGCGCATGGGGTCTCATTGTCCTTCAAATGGGGTCCCCTGCTCGATTGAGCTCTTAATGCTTTTTTTTTTTTTCCTCTAGCTTATCAGATAACATAGTCCAATTACCTTAGCCACAGAAATAAAGCGAAATGATTCGCTTTTATTCCATTCAAAATGCTAGGCTTCTATTGCTATATATGGTTGGGTGGGTTTGTGACGTGCCATGAAACAGAAACTTTTTAAAAAGAGGGCCACGTTCTTGTGAGAAATCTATGTAAGATACAACACAACACTTCAAATGTTTTTGCATTCTTTTATGTTGTCCCGTGTCTTTAAGTGACAAGTGTAACTATAGTCGTGTAAAGATCTTGAATTGTTCGGAACCTTGGATTCGGATGTTAGTATTCCCTCATAATGTCGTTTAGGTGTCTACTTCTATTGAGAGAAGAATCAATCAGGAATTGTTCACCGTTTGATTGTGATGAAGACACAGCAAAAGTAATGACCAAGATAAGAATCGCTAATGGTTTTCAAGATGATGATTTTTCATTTTAAGAGGAAAAGACAACGAAGTGAAATGAAAACAATAGTGCTTGTCTGGAAATAACATGACCGCTTCAGTTCACATGCTAAACTTCTGAACGTACAAACAAGGAAATGCCATAAACTATTGGGGCGACCCTTTTTTCTCTGTCCTCCGGAATTGATTGATGAATTATTGGAGGTAATCACGGAGATTTATGCTTCAGTAGTTCAATAATGTTCTGGTTAAATCAACTTCCGTTCTCCCTTACAATAAAGATGTTGCATATTTTATTTTTGTCAGAACGTAAATGAAAGTGAAGATGGCGATGGGCATTTATGGAATGAAATAATAATACTTGTTTTTTGAGCAAGAGGTTCTTATCAATCTGATCTAATTTCTTGGGATTTTATCGTCATTCACGTTGTTGTTGTCAGGTGATGAATGATGAAAAATGTACTTGGCGAAATTTCTTGCGTTGGAAAAAAAAAAATTAAAATACATTTACTTTCCTTTTAATTTATCTTAATTAAGGATATATTTCTTCTATTTGAACCTTTCTTAGATTTAATAGTTTTAAAATACAAACCTTCTTTATATTTTTAAAATTTATTTTCATTCACTTAATCATTAATTAATCATTAAGTCATGTATATTAAACTAAATTACCTTTTTGTAATATTATGTAAAAATCATTTAAAATATAAAAATTAATGTTTATGTTTTTAAAATTTTATTCATATTTTAAAATTTTTAATTAATTTTATAAATTTTTATTCAGTAATTTTTAAAAAATTTAAATACAAAATTTTTAAAATAATATTTTATATAAAAAAACATAATGAAATAGTGACGTTTAATAATTAGTCAATATAATTTATACTTCCTCCGTAAAAAAATGTGAGATATTTTTTGAGGAATTTAATGTTAAAAAGTATAAGGCATTTTTAGTCTTTTAAAATGTAATTATTACCTTTTTTTTAAAAGTGTCGTTATTGATAATAATTTTATATTTATTGTAGGATATTTAATAAAGGTAAATATGAAAAGATATAGTTAGTTAAAAAGTAAATAATTATTTTATTGGAAGGTAAAATTCGGTTAAAAATGCCTTATATTTTTAAACGGAGAGAATATTTATTTTATTTAAATTTATTTAATTTAAACATAATATTTTTAAATTATTTATTTAACTATTTCATAATTATTTAAAGTTCTCTAAATTGAGGGGAGAGGATATAACATTAGATTGTAAGGGAAATTAATAATTTTAAGTTGTTTAACATAATTAAAAATAAAAATGAAATTATCTTATAATATTTAATGAAATATTTCTAACAAACTAAAATATAAATTTTAAAAATAGAGAGGACGTAATTGTAATTTACTCAAAAAGAAAAAAGAAACTTCTCCTCATGCACTTAGTATTTTGCTGGTTTGATTAAAATAATTTCTCCTTTATTCCAAAAAAAAGTACTCTTGGTATAGATGAAGGGAGAGACGAGAATAGAGCATACTTTGAAGGGGGGGCTTTTAAGAATAATAAAAATATTATATCCTTCTTCTTCTTATTCCCATCCAAATCAAGGTTAGCACAAAAAATAATGACATTATATTTGGCTGGATAAAAATAGTACAAGAATAGGAGAAATGATCAAATGATGATAATGCCCCTAATATAATTTTTTTATCAAATATGATTATTAGTCATCTATTTAATAAAAAATTGTAAAAATATATTCATATTTAATTTTCTAAATTCGTAAGAATATTTTCAAATGAACAAATCATTGTTAGAACCTCATAAAAATGCAAAAAGTTGGGGAAAACAAATCTGGAGAATGAAAGTTGATAAATCCTTTGTCAAGACATTATGCGAGGATAAGTGGGCTTTGGAAATCCCCGCACACGCTCCTGACCAAGGCTCCGAGAGTGTATGATAATCCGTAGGGTGGCATTTGTTGTGATTTGGTTGTAATTATGGGATGAGCCGATCATTTCACGGGACAAGCGAAAGGGAATCCACGGGTTCAAATTCCACGACCATTGGTTATGCAGGTCTCATCATTTGTCTCCTGATCCAATCAAATCACCCATAATCAAGAGGTCATGCGGTGTGAATAGTTGGAGTTTTTGAAATTACAAGAGAATGAATAAGATCCTGAGATTTAGAGTTGTTAGGCAAATGAAGATGTGGAGGAACATTAATAATGGGTATGGGAGAAGCAGGGCAGAAGAATTGTGATTTGTTAGTTTCTAGGTGGACGAATAAAGAAGAGGACCATCCAACGTGCCACTCGCACTCGCTCATACCCAACCCCGAGATTCTGAGCCATTCGTCTTTCTCCTTATGTCAGCTGTGTCTCCCAAAATTCTGACTTCTATGCTCCCATCATCCCCTTCTCGTCCATGCATGTGTTTGTGTTGCCTCCTTTGGTGCCATCCCTTGTACCTGCAAAACTCTTGTCCGGTTCTCACAGTTTACATTTGCAATTCAAATCTGATAGTAACACCAACCTCGACATTCTACAACTCCACTTCGTCCTCATCAGTCGGAGCTAACACTTCCCTTTCTTTCTAGTTTGTACCGTAAAGGTCTCTTGATGACATTGTTTTTGCTCAACAGGCTCATTTCTTAGCTCTTGTATCTCTTTACTTTTAACAACCTATTTTCACCCTTTCAAATTTAAAAAAAATGTTTTCAACCACAAATCCTATTAGAATAATTAGTTTTTACCAGATTTCAATTTGAAGTCATCTTTGTTTTTCAGCATTAACTTTTGACTTTATAAATTTTCAATTGAATATTTGGGGAAAAAAAAACAAACAAACAAACTAAATGCACGGACTGCAAAATTAAACACGGTCTCAATATCTCAGACTCTCTCCGTGATGGTAGCTTTGCCAGCGGTGGACACTTTTGTCCACTAAAAAAAAATACTTTATTTCCCACCAAAGACGTTAATGATTCTTGATTTTAAAACTTTAAAATTCACAGTTCTTTAATATACTCATTCACTTCTTAATAAGTTATAACACTAGATATGATACATATATGATATATCAACAGTTTTATTTTTTAAAAGTATAGTGTACGATACAATATGCACACACATACTCATAAAAAATAAAAAAGTATATATATTTGAATGTAATCATTTTATTTTAAATATTATTTTCCTCGTTTTATAGACGATTTGAAATAAAGTGGCCCCGAAAAAAGGAGATTTTGAAATAAAGTAAAGAGACTACGACATAAATTACAACCTAAAATAGTGTACTTATAAGTAAATAGTTAAAGATACTAGCAAATGGATAAAATATTTATTTTTGAAGTTATCATAGACCTATTTTTTATGAAATTTTAATATTTAATTTTAAAAGCGAATAATAAAAAAAGTAGGAATAAAAAGATTAATATGGCTATCTTTAATAAAACAATTTATTAAAAAATTTTCTTCAAAGTGCCAATGATGAAGTATCGACTCGCCATTTATGAGCGCCGAACATGCATCAATAGTTAAATTTTTTTAAATTAAAAAATAATTATCCAATATTTTATACATACCAATTGAAGAAGTATCGGCCTATAGTGATATTATAATATTGGATACAATGCCATGATATGTCAACTAATTTTTTATACTTCATAAATTATAAAATATATTTAACTATCTAACAAATATCAAAAGAAGCGATTAAATCATTAATTTTTTAAAAAATTAATAAATATTTTATTTTATTAATGTTTAAATAAAAATTTTTAAATTACCATTACATTCTTCATCATAATTAATAATTTTAAATAAAAATAATATTAAAAAATGACTGAAAATCCATTAAGTGATTTATAAGGTTAATTATTTTTTTAAAATTTTATTTTGTGAGTTTTTATAATATTTTTTTAAGCTTTTGAAAATAATCAAAATAAAAAAAATCATATTTTTAATTATTTTAAGAAGCTATTTTAAATAATTTTTGAAAATAATTTAGTGCGGTAAATAAGAGAGAGTGCTTTAAAGAGGTAAAACACATGAAGATATCATAAAATTTTTAAATAATATAATAGTAAATTATTTTTATAAAATAAATATCAAGAAAAATATTATAAAATTTAAAAATAACTAACTAATAATCACTTTTTTATTATTATAACCAAATATAAAATAATATCTATTTTTTATAAAATCTTTTTGAAAAAATTTATTTTTTATAAAATCTTTAAACTATCTAAAAATTACTTATTTGTTAATCTTACACAAACTCTCCCATAATGTCCTACCCCTCTGCTTTGATGTCTCCAAGACTCCAGCTACAAAATTAAGGTTTCAGCCATGGGCCAACTCCAATTACAGTTGGACCGGCGACTGATTAAGAGATTTTTTCTTGGCAAGTAAGATAATCTGATTTCCATGTTCATAAAAAAAAAATGATGAGATTTCCATGTTTAGATCGTAAAGCATATTTGGGCTATCTTCCAAAAATTTTCTTGGGCTTGTATTCTTCCGGAGAATAATTGGGCTTGTCTTAAAAACCAAGAAAACCACGCTAGCCCAAAAAGAACAGAATGTGTTTTCTATATAAATCGTGCTGCAAACCCTAGTTATTCAGTCACCGCCAGTCTCTGTTGCCTTTGCTTTCGTTCCAGGAGAGGCGCCATGGGGCGGGTCATCCGTGCTCAGAGGAAGGGTGCTGGTTCGGTATTCAAGTCTCACACGCACCACCGTAAGGGTGCGGCTAGGTTCAGAAGCCTTGATTTCGGTGAGCGAAACGGTTATCTGAAAGGTGTGGTCACCGATGTCATTCACGACCCTGGTCGTGGAGCTCCTCTCGCCAAGGTTACTTTCCGCCACCCCTTCAGGTATAAGAAGCAGACTGAGCTCTTCATTGCAGCCGAGGGTGTGTATACTGGTCAGTTCGTCTACTGCGGCAAGAAAGCCTCCCTTGTCGTCGGTAACGTGTTGCCCCTGAGATCCATTCCCGAAGGAGCTGTTATTTGCAATGTAGAGCACCACGTCGGTGACCGTGGCGTATTTGCTAGGTCTTCTGGTGATTATGCCATCGTTATCAGCCACAACCCAGATAACGACACTTCTAGGTATGCCTCTGTTACTTTATTTCATGTTGCAGCTGCGGCTCATGTTATATATTAATTCTGAATTGTTTTTTATGGGTTTAGTGGGTTGATTTAATTGCATGTTGAAATCGTGTTGATTAGTTTGTAAACCTGCCCTTCATGAGCGAGCTTGTTTTGCTCATCAAAAATTTAGATCAATGATAATAAAACTGGACTGTCTATAATAAAACTGGACATTGTAGATTTTAGTTCACTGTAGTTTTACAATTTTATTAGTTTTGTTTTGGTAGGATAAGGCTATAGAATAAAGATGGCTTTCAATTTTTTAGAAAAAGACATTTCAACTTCAAAATCATAGTTGAAAAACTGTGATGTGTATCGAAACTAAATATGGATGGCTCATCTCTGACAAAGGATGAGCCCTAATGAGTATCCATGTAAATTTGGATTTATCCAGCGTTTAGTTTGTATTTTTAAAAATATTCTGCTGTTTGATCGATGTATTCTGTTTTGCCACTGTGGCTTTGCAAATATACAATGATCTACATCATAGCTTCAAGTGTTGTGTGCTGCTCCTCACTGGAACGTTTGAGATGGATTTTTGGAGTATTTTCAAAATCAGTTCATTTGTTTCGCTCGATGTTATTATGTGCACTATTAATAACTACCGACAATAAAAGGATCAGAATTGAGTCTGTTACCTAAAATTTAGGTCATTTATTCTTTATTGTGAAATAAGCATATTTCTGGTGAGAATTATAACTTTATAATTTACTTGATCCTATTAACAGGATCAAGCTGCCATCGGGTGCAAAGAAGATTGTTCCAAGTGGCTGCCGTGCCATGATTGGCCAGGTTGCAGGTGGAGGGAGAACTGAGAAGCCCCTTCTTAAAGCTGGCAATGCTTACCACAAGTTTAGGGTGAAGAGAAATTGCTGGCCTAAGGTGCGTGGTGTGGCTATGAACCCTGTGGAGCATCCTCATGGAGGGGGTAATCACCAACACATTGGACATGCAAGTACTGTCAGGCGTGATGCTCCTCCTGGCCAGAAGGTCGGTCTCATTGCTGCCAAGAGAACTGGTCGTCTTAGGGGACAAGCAGCTGCAACTGCTGCTAAAGCTGATAAAACTGCTTGAGGAGTGTCTTAGATTATTGTTCATTTGCATGTTTTTTGATCTTGTCTCTTTGATAGTTTGTCTGCCAACCTTGGCACTGTTTTGAGAACATATTTCCCCAAAATATGGAGTTTTGAATGGACAGCCTGTTATATTTGTTTAATATGCAATAGAATTAAGCAGTTTATCTCCTTTGCTAGTATCAATTTGTTGCATTTTTACGGAATCTGGTGATCCTATTCAAGCGCTAGAGAAGGTTGGCATCTGGTTATGGTAACTAGGGTATGGATGATCGTTTTAAGTTTTAGCTGTTGAGTAGGAACACATGCATTGTTGAAAACTGGTGATATTCATCCTGTGTCATTTTCGGGGTTCAAGTGTTTAACCATTTCAAGTGTTAGGCCAAAATCTTATCCGGTTGTTGTAGCTGGTCAGACGCGTTTGCCTGCCCTTGTGAACGATTTTGGAACCGAGGCTAATTACAGTGAGTCGTTTCTTTCAGGGCAGGTAGGTTTTCACAATTTATAGAGTAGTTGCAGAGTAGTTCCTGCACTATAAGAAACCACAAACCAAACTGGGAGCAGCTCTTTTAAAAACAATTTCTATGTAGAATTTGCTTTCTATGGATCCAAACTCGACATTTCATTTTGAACCTACATCTTAGGCTGAAATTAAAATTATACTCCACATTATTCATCAAATCACTAATTATTCTCATTAAGCTTAATTAATCATATTTAGATTTTTAGGATGTTATAAATGTAAATTGAAATTTACTAATACCACTTGAAAATTTATTAACATAACTTGAGAATTGATTAACGTTAGTCAAAAAAATTCATCAATAGCTTGTCAAATTTCTTATACATTTAGTCAAAAATATTTTAGATTAATTTGTTGTATTATATACATTGAGTTACAGAAAATATTAAGTACATAAAGTTTTAATTTACATCATACATATAATTAAAATATAATTTGTAGAAGTTCATATCACAATTTTTTAATCTATATTTTCAATTTTTGTAGTCCTCCGTGCTTGACATTTGAAATAAATGTCATTACCTGTGAAACTACTTCATTTAAAATAAATCTTGTTCTTTTGATAACAACTTTTTTCATGCTGTTATAGCTTCTGCATTTAGTTTTTTTTTTAAATCATTACCTGGATTTGTATACTTTCTAAGGTAAGCCTCTTTAAACTTACTTTAACTACTTTTCTACCTTAATGAATTTCTTTTTATCCTAGACATTGTCCTGCACACAAAAAGATTATGGGTAAAGAAAAAACAAAACACTATTGAATATATCTACCATCATTAATGAATACACAAGATGAAACTATTAAACTCACATTTTATCAAATCTAAAATTCTCTTATAGAACTTCTCAGTATAAAAACTATAAATGTTTTGTCACCTATGCAAAATCTTGATTCACAGTTCAATCTATTATACAGACTTTAATCAATTCATGCTAAGCATGCATGTTATAGATAAAATCCCTCTTTTATAAATATGCATGGGCGTTAATATATGCATGCTTATCTCACTTGACAATCACTGAAAGGGAGAGGGAGAGGGAGGGATATATGACATGAGAAAGAGGGATAGAGAGAACAGGAGAAGTGTAGTTATTGAGTATTAGTTCTTGCAATTAAAATTCCCCCCAGCTATATAAAGTTGGTGAGGACTATGATAGTGAAATATGCAATTCACTGTCGTAGCCAATGTCTAGCATACACAAGGAGAACTTAAAGTGTGATTCTAAGTAATGTTAATTATAGAATTTATGGGGATATGAAATTAAAAACCACAAAATACTATAAGTTTCATACTTTACAAATGAAAATCCTCACCTTTACAACTGTGCGAAGTACAGAAGGTGTGTCATATGCAAGCAATGGCCATTGGAGCTATGGCAAGGAGTGCAAGGGAATAGCGACAAAGAGTGCAACGAAAATATGAGGACCAACATTGGAGCACAGTTGTCACCAACGATTAACGCAACATTAGAGCTAACAAGGAGACGTCGAGGAATGCAAAAGCAGGAGACTTTGTGAAATAGAGAAAGAAAGGTTAGGATAGTGCGTGCAGATTTTTTGATTTTTTTTTCAGGGACATTTATGACAATTTATATTTTTAAAAATACCAATTAAGGGGATTTTAATATTCTATAATTTTTAATTGGGATTAATATCGGGGATCCTTAATTATCATTTTCTCTAAATTTATTGTTAGGTCTTGAGATAAAAGAGTATGAGAAAGGTAGGTCAATGGTTGTTAAGCACTTGGCACGAGGGACTTGAAATGACCGACAAAAGAGGGGGAAGCAAGGGAGGCCTTCCCCAAAAGAAAAGGATATTTGGATTAAATTTATTTTTTATTTTTCATTTTTCCGGCAATTTTTTTATTTTGAATTACAATGTCAAATTTGATCATTGTAAAATAATTATCGTTTACCAAACGGCAGCATCTGCGGAATAGAGAACCCTCTAAAGAAGCACTCACAAGCGAAAGATTCCAGCGGTCATTGTTAAACGCAGAAACGCTAACGCTATTTGGGTCGTCGCCACTAAGGGGGCTCCGAATCGTTTCGGTTGGAGAAATCCATCGTGCAAGCATACCGTATTTTAAAACGACGTGTTGCGGGGCGGGTGTTCGCGTACTCCACTTCTAAAACGACAACTGACATTTCTCCCGTGCGTGAATGAGTAGCACCCTGTGATTTCCAGTTCTAAAACCCTTTTGATTCTGGATTATCCTTCATCTCCGCATACTCGGATAGCTTTATTGCTTGAATACAATGGCTGTTTCAAAGAAAAATGCACGTATCCCCTGCCACTTAATTCTTGCGGTCATCATTGGGTTTATCGTTAATAAGGCTCTGTGCATCAGAAATCCGGATCGGAGCTCTGAATCCACCAAGGACTTACCAGACCAGGAACAACACTTGAAGATCGCAGTTTTTGCTATGGGAAGCTTCTGGAGGTCTGAGGCCGTCTTCGGGTGCTTGCCTGGCGTCATTCGGACCAGGGCTGGATATGCCGGCGGATCCAAGAGAAACCCTGAATACAGAAACCTGGGTGACCACGCCGAAGCCGTCCAGGTATTCCCACTTTCTAAAATGATCTTTTTAATTAAGCATGTCAAACGACTTCTGTTTCTTGGAGTTGAGGAAATAAATGGATCATAGCTAAGCTAGATGAAAATTTGTCTGGTCCTGTTTCCTTGGAAATTTCCCCTAGTTTGACAGTCTCAATTCAACCAATAAGTTCTGTTCCTTTCTTATTGTTGAATTTCTACCATACAAAGTACCAGATTTAGCTGTAGGAAAAAAAATCAGATATAGCAAGCAGTTTCTTGTAATTTAGAGGCTACAGAGTCTTTGGTAGCAGCTGAATAAAATTGATGCGCGATCACATAGTTCTATTCATATCAATCTCTTGGCGTTTATGAAACACTGAATGGAAGGTCATTTACCACTGTTCACATCACCAAGAAACGTATTGGTCTTGACGGTTTCAATTTTTAAACAAAATTATGGGTTAATATGATGATGCAGATCGAGTATGACCCCAGGCTAATTAGTTATGAGGAGCTTTTGAATGTGTTCTGGTCTAGTCATGATCCCAGGCAAGTATTTGGCCAAGGTCCTGACGTTGGTAATCAGTACAGGTACGAATCATGATGCTGGCATCAGTTTCCTATGGTCTTCATTTGAACCTTATGCAAACCACTGAACCATACCAGATCTGTTATTTTTACTAATGGAACTGAAGAATCAAGACTGGCTAGCATCAGTAAAGAGAATGAACAAACCAGTTCAAGAAGCAGCATCGTGACCACCCAAATTCAGGAACTTGGAGAATTTTATCCTGCGGAGCCTGAGCATCAGGTTTGTGATACCAAATTGATGTTATCTAGAAACACATTCGCTCCTTCGACTGTTCACTTTTCTGATCTGTTGATGCTTGAGCAAATTTTAGTTGCATTCCAGAAACCGTTGTATGAGACCGAGATCTGTGTAAGCTGCTGTCTGTTTGGCTTATGTATTTCAAGAGTATGACTACTCGGATTATTATCTGCTAATGCTCATTTTCTTGAAGAGATTTACTGCTAAACTATGGTAAATTCTATGCAAATATCGTTTGGGTTCATCCTCCTCTTTCTCCTTCTCTCTCTCTATATATATATGTGTGCGCTCGCATAATGAAGGTTTATTTTTGTAGCTGAAAGAAAATTGGTAACAAGGATGTTTTTATACCCTTAACCCTTGTAATCGCTGCCTGACGTTCTTTATCCTAAATATGCAGAAATTTGAACTCAAGCAAAACCCCTTTCTTCTTCAGCTAATTGGTAATCTGCCTGAAGAGGAACTTGAGAGGTCAAGTATGGCAACAAGATTGAACGGGTATGTGGCGGAGCTTTGCTCTCCAAAACTACAAAAACAAATTGATGCGAAGATCAATGAGATTATGAAAAAGGGTTGGCCCCTGTTGAGGGAATTCTAGTTGGCATCTTTGGAAGAAGCGCTTGTTTTCACGCATCAGTTGGGTGCTTAGATGAAGAGCTCCGGTTGTTGAAAGACTTGGAATTACACATTAGAGGAAGAACCAGATCATCTGGCTGTGCAGTTTTATCATTCTTCCTTTTAATTGTTCTTGATACCTTTTTTCTGTTGGGTTATAAAGAATTTGAAATTAAGATTTCCAAATAGAAGTTGTTGCACTTTCCTTTTTTAAAAATTTTGCGCCTACTTAACCGTAGCCCGTCGTATTGGGCATTTGGAATATAGAATGCAGTGCAATCTTGTCTCTGTCTACATAGTTGATGACAACCTTTCAACATGATGCGTCGAAATCATTCTCAAAGAGTTCTAGTCGTATAAGAACCGTATTCTCATGGGATTTTTTTTTTTTTTTAGCATAACATCAGGTCGTGTCATTCATAGATCATAAATCATGTCATTTATAAATCAATCCAAAGTCCATATTTATGTAGTTTATTTCTCCACTTGTTCAGAGGGAATACTTCAAAAAGAGAACATACCAGAAGCAAGTTTGAATTTGTTGTGTTGTGGCTTTGTTCTTATGGCGATATCTTTTAACATTTACAATATCGTCATCCACGTTCGAGTGTTTTTCTTCTTCGTGGAGGTGTAGTGTGGTCATATGAAGAGTTGAAATACAA